TCATATCTTCATCTAGGATCCTATTCTAAACATTTTTTTTGAGTTTTTAACGAAGATGCAACTCCATAACTTTCTTCAATACAAAACCAAAAACTTATTTGGCATTCATTTCTGCTAAATCCAAATTTAATTCCCTCACACTTATTTCTGCTAGGGATAGATGTGAAGTAAAGTGCTGAACATCAGATAAAGAAAATATCAAGAAAATATATTAATTTTTTTTAAAAAAAGCTCAACCAACTCTTAAAAAATGCAACTTTACAAAAAATCCAGTGTACTTTAGCAACGCCTTTTGGAAAGCAAAACTACGATGACTTCGCGGGTGTGGGCGTTTATTTCAGATGGCGTTGACTTGAGCTATTTTACATTGTAAACCTGCATCGCTAGCTGATATATACGAAGGTTGCCTTTTATGTTTCGGGATTTGGCAACCCTGGTGTTGCAATCTGGCAACTGACAGCTCTATCGTAAAGTTGGATGTTTTGACGTTATACGTACTCAGAACGTTTTGATATACGAGCGCTATTTGTGTTGTTTACAGTAACTTAAAAGATTCGTCTTGGCCCAAAAATGGAATTAAATCGTGAACATTTTCGTGCGATTATTTTTTACAACTTTCGACGTGGATTAACTCTGCAACAGTGCATGGATGAACTTAATTCAATATTTGGTGATGAAGCTCCATTAAGGAGTGGCAAAAGTGCTTCGGCAATTGGTTCAAACGCATGCAAAAGTGTATATATCTTAATGGGGAATATTTTGAAAAACAATAAAGTGATTTTAGATTATTAATATTTGTTTTTGTTCCCTAATCCTAAAATATAAAAGGCAACTCTAGTACTCTCTTCTCATGAGTGCGAATGCGTGAGTCAAGCCTGGTAGGGGGCTAACGCACTTCTTACGCTCTTCCAGACAGCATGCTAGTACTATCTGTGGAAAACAGTTTCAGCTAACAAAATAGCCGCTACTTGACCATATTACCTGACTGGCCATATTTGCAACTTACCTTATATAACATCGAATGTGCAGGAATGTTCAGAAGCGTACATACGACAGACCAAGTGAAAGTAGAAGTTGAGATTGGCGAAACATAAAAGAAATGTAAATGACAACATTAATAAACAAAATTCAATCATTAATAACAAAATTAGTACACGCCATAAAATAGATTTTATAAATGAAAATTTTAACTAAAGAGAATAGAAAAGTTGTCTCACTGATATTACCTTCCAAAGCATTCTTTCCACGAAGCGCAGACATGATTTCAATATATTCAGATTCTAAAAAAGCGTTGTGTGTTTGAATTGCTCTGACAATAATTCAGAAATCGGATTCATTTTTTTCGCCCAGGTGTTTTAGATTCATTGAATTACATACGTAATCGTTTAACATTTTGTTTTTGTATAATTTTTGATACAATTTTTCATGTTACAATACCATCTCTGTTCCAAGAACTCTATTTATTTGACAATAAAAACATGGCCAACAATAAAGCTTAGCTTTGACTTTATTATCTGTTAGCCATTTGTGTAAATCATAACACGAAGGATTGCATTGTTCGCCAGAACGATGTACAACTGTACTCAACGAAGGAGAAGATCACCATTGTTCAAACTTGGTCTTTTTTATACATCGTTAAAATAAGAAAACTGGGTATGGAGTAGTTCATTCATTGTATCTGTCGTAATAGTAATGTAAAATTAGACTTATATAAAAAATCAAGTAACTCTAATCATCCGTGCAGCGTACTAATTAAATAATCAAATAAATACTTATTGAATAACAATAACTTCCTTCACTGTTAACTCGTCTACAAAACAGTAAACACGCGACCTATTGCGGCTTGCATTGAGTGGAAATCGAATCCTAAGACTTCTTGAGCCTACCGCGCTGACGTCTGGCTCTGACATGAGCGTTTTGAGTGAGTGAAGTTTGAGTTTTTGACGATACTGAGTCCAGCAACTCTACTTGTACCCTGTCATTGTCGTAGCCAGCCGACATGGAATTCCTACGTTGGACGTGCGCCCAGTGGTGGCGGGTAGACGACATGCATGGCCATTCAGGCCGTTCGTGTGAGAAGGGCTGGCGGTCGAGCCTGCAGCGTCAGCAGTTGTTCGAAACGTACACAGCTGGAGAGCCTTCTGGCTGCCAGTTCTGACATATCTATCGAACAGCTCCCATATTTACTGCCCGCGAACTTACTTGAACGATGGATTGAAGAAATGCGGGTGGAGTAGGGGTATTAGTTACGAAATCGGCCACTAGATTTTATGAAGTAATGCCAAGCTCTGGAGAATAAATCACACCTTCGTAACGTTCTCAATAATTTGCGTTCTAGCTTTCTCAGGAGTTCAAGGTATCTCCTGTGATAGATCCGTACATTTCTTTAGATTTTTAAAGAAAATAACCGCGCCATGGAAGTGCCATGGCACGGCCAAGTCTATTTCGCGCCATGGAAGATGTGTTCGGAATGTTGTCATCAGTGCTCGCTACGACCTTTTGCGTACATCTGTTTTTTGTGCAAGAGAGGGGGAAGCAAGGTCATCGGTCAAGAAAAGTTGCGCGAGTAATACTAAAAAGTGTGTAAGTCACTAGATGGCGCTGACCTTCCATGCGGGCAGGCAGCAAAAGAATTCGCTGGCCTGCGCACAATGCGCATGCGTCAAGTAATGGACACAGCAGGCTACTGTTCTACTACCCCTACAGGGGCTTTTCTGAGAATACGTAGCGATGCGAGACTGCGCCCTTTTTTATTTCACTTCCTATCATTACAATTTACTTCACTTCTCCACAATTACATATTCTTTAAGAATTACTGACTTCTATATTACCTTGGGCATTAATTTTATGTCAAATACATTTTATTTAGTACATAACCATATCCGCCATATTGAACATACTAGATAATGTAATTTCAAATGGCCCGGTTCACGTCCGTCCTCCATTTCAATTGGTCTTCTGCCTTTCGACGCTTATTGGCTGGCGGTGGGTGAAAATGGCTGCCTCTTTCTGATTCGTTATTTCTGTTGGGGTGGGAGATTCGAATTTCTCCCCTCCACGAAAATAAGGTCTTTCCGTTTAACATTGAGTGCAGCCTCTGATCTCTGCCCGGGCGTGCCTAGTCAGGGCCCACCACCATTACAAACAATGAACAAGAGCATGATTTGTACAGTTGTGTAAAATTGTAATCACATGGGCTCTTTTGAATCTAGCACAGAATAAATAAAGTTTAGTCCCGATTTTATAATAAAACAGGAGGCATTCAAAATCAACCTCGAAGTTTCTATTCACACTTCAAAATATGGAGAAAATAAAAAGCTGATTAATGTAATATCCTATACCACCTTTTTGAAATTCTTCCTCCTCCGTGCTTTTATCCACTTCAATCATAATTCTTTATTAGAAATGAGAAACCGTATGTTTAGGAGAACGTCATATAATGCAAATAAATCATTTATGACGATCACAACCATTTACTAATCACATGAACATACCTGTGAAACGTAATTTTACTTCCATTTACATCTATTTTACCAGCTCTATTTGTGCAATTATAGCACAACAGAAAACTACCATTATAACAGTAATATAATATAAATAAATTACTATGATAAGGCTCACTGGCAGTCACGTTTAACGACGTTATTTATTCATAAAAACACGATCATACAGTAATTTATCAACGTGCAACATAATTTACGTTTTCAAAATTCCTCAGAATGCATTAAAATTAACCTTACATCGTATACGTATCCTTAATCAGCTTTAAAAAAAACACACTCATGCTACTTCGCAGTTTACAGCTGATCGCTTTTGCCATTCTAATGGCGACGACGGACCTCTTCAATTTGGGAGTGGAGCAGTGGTGTTCGTGGCACATCTAGCGTCTTCTTAAGATACTATATTTATGGTGCCTAGCATAGCTCTCTTCTCTATGGTGCTTAGCCGACCTAGCTGAAGAGGTGCAAGAGAGCGCATGCCGGAAGAGACGAGATGGATCGCATGGCTGTTAGAAAACGGTTGAAATGGAAATATGGCTCGTGCCATGATAATGAAATGTTCTTGATATATTTCCAGATGAATAATACTTACACCATATTAAAATTGCAAGAGTCATTTATTTTTTATTATTATGAAATGCATTAAACTAGTTTATATTCATCAGGGTAGGCAGTGCCGGTTGGAGTATGGGAGCCTTTATACGGCTCTTGGGTCAGCACGACTTAGGGGCCATCCATAAATTACGTAATGCGAATTGAGAGTATTTTGAATATCCTCTCTCCCCTCGTTTCGCGTGTTTGTACTTCCCTAAATAATTAAGTAACGCTTGCGACATCCTCGCATTTACAAGAAATAAAAATAAATTATATCACTGTAAAACAATTTGTATGGATTGTATTTGTGCTATACATGAAATTTTATGATAATTAAAGTCAGAATTAGTCGGCTATGCTGACAACATCTAACAATATGGTTGGGGGCAATTTCAGTGAAGAAAGGGTTAGTGACGAGAACATTTCTGAGAAGCAGTATACTCGCCGTTGTGGGTGATCTACAATGGGCCAGATTATACAGCGCTAATTTAATTGGATTCTACAATAAATTGTAGATCAGTTTTGATTTTGTCCCGAAATTTTAGATTTAATCAAAAATTGACGAAAAAATATTTCCATTTATTGAAACAATTTATACACAGTAACTTTTATTTATATATTAAAAATAACTTGTTAATATATAAATGTTTTAGAATAGTCTAAGGCTAAAAAATAAGAAATTATTTAAGTGAATATTGAAAAAAAAGAAGAAGAAGAATATCGTTGCGCAATTCGAAAGTAAATTCCATCCAATGTACGCAGCGTAAAGCTGTCTCAAACTCCTCTTCCCCTCTTTTAGTTTTCGTAATTTATAGACAATCCATTTGGTAACGCCGTGCGTGCCGGTGCAAGAACTTGCCCGTGTGGTTATTTCATGTTCTTGGCCAAGAAGGTATGTTTACTAGTATATTGGGGGGGGGCTGGGGTCTGTAAACAATGTCAGAATGTTTAATTTTACATAATTCATGTTATGCATGTATACTAAAAGTATTTAAACATGGTGATAAGCATAAACTAGTAATTTTACTAAACATCCGATTCAATCACATGACTATATGACTAGAGATTGGTGAGCATAAACTTTAATTATCCCCGTTGTTGGGCGCGGATTTTAGAAATAAGTGCCAACATTGGTGCCAACCATAGGGCTCGTGGCTACTCTCGCTGGTATATACTCTCTGGGGCTCGTGGTCACAACATTGCTTTTGAACAAATGAATTACGCTTTCCGTGAAACGATTGAACATGAGCGGATATGGGAGATTAAATAGGTTATGTCTGAAGTAATTACCAATTATTGTTCACATAATGCCAGAATTGTTTAAAGAAAGTTTTAAAAAATACAAAAGCAAATGTCCCCCTCCAGATTTCTCAGAAGTTATTAATTTTGGTTCTAAGTCGTCAAGCCAGGTACGTCATTGTTGATCATTACAGTTTTTAATAGTAAGTTCTTCTAATTTCTCTTCGTTTTCAATACAAGGAAGATGCCTACAGTATTAACTAATATTTCACTATTCATTTCCTGCAGATAGAAGGCGTCAAGAATGGGAAAATAGTGAACCCAGTTCATTTGTGTGGCCTTCAGCCTGTGTCACAATGGAAAATAAGTGAAATTGAAAACAATCCTGGCATGATACATGTTGTCAACCCGTTTACTGACGTAGGGCATCGTTATTGGGTTTGTAGAGCTCTAAGTTCATACACTCAACGCCCTGAGAGCAAACTTAGTTTGGATGGAATTGGAGATCTTCAAGAAGACGAAGACTGGTGGGAGCTATGCACTCGGTAAGATTCCATGAAGTCATGTAATATTTAAAATGTGCAATGTAATTCAAATAAGTTATAAGGCTGAGATGCCTCTGCCAATAATTGTGAACATTTCTGTTCACAAAGATAGGCTAATTATTGTACAGCTTTTTAATATTATCTCCCCTTTTATTTAAAATTCTTTTACTAAAAGTTGCATCTTTAGAAAGACTATATTAGAGTGATTATTATTAGGGACTAATGAAAACTATAAGTAGTTTGCTTTTATTACAAATATAAATACCGAGAATTATTCTGTGATGTTTTCAGAGTAACATTGCCTACTTGAAGATGCATGTTTTGGCAAGTTCTCAACAATCAGATGAATACCTGGTCTCTTCATTCATCTCTGACCACAACCAATATTTACCCCCTTTTCTCATGGTATTAACTTGATATTCCTGGATCAGAAAGCCTTATGTTTTATTAAAACAAAATTTTTAGCTCTGAAGTTGGATCATCTTTTTTCCATCAAATTGTTTTGTTGGAGTAATAATAGAATGATTGTCTTCCACCTGCGGTACAAGATCATCTATTTCAAAATCTTTTGATAGGAAAATCCTGCCTTCAATTTCAGCACAGTTACCAAGTTGTTTTTTACTTTTTTTTCTGAATGAAGTCATAAAATGGTTTATACTAGCCAAGTCATCAATGGTTATTCTTTTGGCGGAATCTTTTTTTTTGTATATGTCTATAACAAATATAAAATACTGACATCAAGTAACCCTGCAATTGTTAAACAATTTTCCAAATGCAGCAAAATAATGGTTTGTTGTGATTGTAACCGTAAACATGTTAAAAAAGAATAATAGCCATGTAGTAAACATAGAATAGTAAAAGAATAGTAAACATGTTAATAAAGCCCTTGGGCACTTTGTTGCTACTTGATCGTTATAACCCTCGTAATGCCCTTGGAGCATAAATAACTATATTTGTGTCATCTTTAGGAAGGCCTAGTCTGGAGGAACAAATCCTTTAATACCAGACTGAAGAACATATTTTCCACTTTCTACCTTCTGGAGGGGCCTGGAAAATATTATCCAATTTTTCCTCTTGAATTGAATTGATTTTTCTTTACTCACAAATTAACACATATTCTCACTTCAATTCCCTGTGCTATTCAGCTGCTCCTCTCCTTTTATGCATTGTATTGTTTTCGAAGTACAAGCGATGCTCTTCTTCACAATTTAATTTCTGTTGGAAAAAATCCATTGAAAATAATACATTCAATTTACCTGAGAATTTTTTGGTAACCTCTATAAGACATAAACCTATAAAGATGGGAAAAGTTTGAAGGAAATGTAATGGTGACAGTAATTGACATGTTTTACCATATTTAGGGTTCATTCAAGAAATTCATACTTATTATAACAGCGGAAGAAGTTAACCTCTTCATTACAAAATTTCAGGATGGGAAGGAAAGTGATTAAATAGTATATGTGTGTTGCGTAAAGCATCTCGTTTGAAAACATTTTGGTAGAATATACATGAAAAGTATCTAAAAGCCATGTTTTGCCAAGTAAAATTTCCGAAAATGTTTTAAACATCTCAAAAGACTTAGAGTAATACTTCCTTTCCCTGTGTATGTCTAGGTTGCAGTGTGTGCTCTTGAGAGGTTAGTACAGTTCTGTTATGAAATTGTATAAAGGGAAGGCAGTGGGACAAAAGTGCTGAATTTTAAGTATGAATTTGTAGAACAACCTGTAATAAAAATTGAAATTAGGAAGTTCATGTTGTCACTTATTGTCTTTTCCATTGTGCACAAAGGCAGATTTTAAAAAATAATTTTTATTTCAGAGATGCATTCAGAGCTAAACATCTTCAGCCAGGATTGAGATGGGCAACAATGGGTTACCACCACAATTGGAATACAAAGGTAGAGCTAGTGTGTGTATTAATTTTCATTTTCCCATTGCAAATATCTGGGAGAAACAATGAGATTTCAAAATTACTATCAGTTTGAAGAATAGACCAAACAGAACTAAGAATAAAGATTTACACAAATAAACTTCAAGTGCTAGTAAATTTTGAGTGAATTTTTAAATGTTGAAATTGTTATAAATTATTTGATAAAAGTTCAATATTAATGTCTCAAAAACATAGGATTCTCTATATGCATTCTGAAAGATGATTGCAAAATTTAATTTACCCTCCTCTCCCCCCTCCCATTTACTTTGCTGTTGTTGCCTGTGTGAACCAGGTTGTTTGAGAGGAGATTAGGTGCAGCCTGACAGTCAAAGGATGAGCGGTGTTCCCAAAGTTTGTTGTCTGAATACTTTAGTTTTAACGTACAGAACATCAAAACATGTTCTATGAAATATAAGTGAAGGCTTCCACAATTTGAGGTTTGATATTATCTTGTTATTTTTTCATATAAGCTATGTTCACCGTTCAAATCTTTGATCTCAGAATGACAACTAAACCTTCAATAACACTATCCAAGTTGCAGTTTCTTCTGAACACTAAACATTGAAGAAATAAACTTTCTTTTTTTTTCATTTTCTCAGATATATTCTGAAGAAGAGAGGGATGCATTTCCTGGAGACTTGGCCGCTTTGAGCCAGTGCATAGCTAATGCAGTGGGCTACTCTGATTTCTGTGCTGAGGCTGCAATTGTTAATTTCTATCACAAAAATTCTGCTCTTGCGGGGCACACAGATCATTCAGAAAGAAATTTAGAAGCTCCCCTTCTTTCTTTCAGGTAACGATTAATTATTATTTCATAGGAAATTTTGTTTTGACTTACTCATTTCCTATGCCTATTTCATGTATCTGTGGTCACTGGGTCAAAGTTCTGAGGTCAGTTTTTGATGAAATTGGGTAAAGTACTGAAACTACAAGGTAAATATCTATATTTCATTTTAGTAAAACAACCAAACTTCCCACCAGCAGTCTGATCCCTATATATACATATACACACACACATTGTATTCATTAATTGACTTCACTTGCTATGTTAATTACAGTTATTTGACATTTGTTTATTGTTGTTGTTACAGTTTTGGTTGCAGTGCAGTGTTTTTAATTGGAGGTAAAACATTGGAAACAAAACCTACAGCAATGTTTCTCCACTCAGGGGACCTCGTCATAATGGCTGGGGAAAGTCGACTATGCTACCACAGTGTGCCTAAAATACTGCCTACATCTGAGAACTTGAGTGAAGAAGTGCCATGTTGTTCACCATGTAAAGATTGCTGTTGCATTTTAGATGCTGATTTATTTACAAAATGTTCAGATAATGAGTTCTGGGAACCATTCAAAAAGTATATTGAAAAATCAAGAATAAATCTAAATGTAAGACAAGTCTTGTATCCTGGTGAAACTAAGTTGATTAGTGAAACCTAGCTTTAAAGACAGTTTTAATTCAAATTTCAGCCCTTGAAATAGGTTATCATTTTCAGTCCATAGATTATATATTTGAAGCAATATCTATATTTTATAAAAAAAACAAACTTTGTTTGAAAGCGAGACTATTGAAAAACGCTTGATTCACTTATTAATAATTTCTTTCCTCAATGGATTTGTAAATAAAAGCTGAAATTTTCAGGTGTTGATGTATTATTAACTTATATTGTAAAAGAGCCAATGATTTTTAATTATGTGACTCAAGCATTTCCTTTTTTTAATTCGGTTTTTTGCTTTCTTGAGAAATGCAAGAAAATATTGTTTTTATGAACCTGCTTTATACATTATGTGAATAAAATTGTAATATCATTTTGGTTTTATTGATTGTTTGTTATATTTTTACATATTATTTACTACATTTTCTATTCTATAGAGTTTACAGCCTATTGGGGGATCTAACTGATCTCAATATATCTGGAACCATTGATAACGAGAATGTAGTTTCAAATATTATTTTGAACAATAACTAACAGACCATAAGAATAATTGGTCCTTTCTACAATGAATTCTTCAGAAAAAAAAATTCATGAGATTTCAATCGCTTCTCTTATAAAGCTAACGAATGCTACGGAAAAAACCTTTAAAATAATGGCTCCTTTCATTTTACTAAATATTTGAAGATAATCTGAATGAAAGTGTATTAACATGTAAAAATTGTATGAAACTGAAATGAGTACGAACTTCAAACTGAACTTTTTTATAAATTTTAGGATTGTTTCCTAGACTGTCTTTATAACTTGTAATATGAGATGGTTTAGGATTTATGTATAGTCTGTTTGATTGTATTTTAACATTTATTGACCTAAACGTCAATAGGTCAATAAGTGTTAAAATTCAAACGAACTGACTGTCTATAAATAAATCCTGGAGCATTTCATATTTGTAAATTTCCTAACTAAAATGTTAGTATTTGTTATAATCCTTTTTTAGTATTATAAAACACAAAAATGTATATTTAGTTTTACTGTACATATTCTGAACTGTGATACATATGTACAATTTTTTACAGTGAACATTATGTAAAAGGATAACCCCCTTTTATTATAAAATAAAATTCTAATTATTCATGTACTTTGAAAATTCAGTTTTTAAACCTTGTTCCCGATAGTGCTATTATTAAGTGCCCATCAATAATGTAATCTGATATAAAACATTTTTACTAAATTAAGGCCAATACAAAAAAAGTGATTAATAATAATAATAATAATAATAATAATAATAATAATAATAATAATAATAAAAATACAATATCAATAATCAGTAAATAAATTTGCTTTTGCTCTTATACAGTCATAAAAAAACAATTTGTACAGAGGATAATTTAACAGTAGTAGATTATACATTTCTTTTTTTATTCATTTATTAACATCAAAACTGTTAAAAACTGTGATGAGCTATGGGGAGAAGTTAAATTGAAATTACATTTATGTCCAGAAGCAAAACAAGGGTCCGTCTCAGCATTTGCTCAAGGATCAGAGAAACTGGACGAAAACCTGATGGAAATGGGGGTTATTGACCCACAAGCTGGGAGATTAATTACATCATTGGAGATTATTTTTTCCCAAGGTGTAATTCTAGCCTGAGGGCTTTAGCCTGATAAAGAATAATTATTCTTCTTTGGGGAAAATAATTTCCCTCCTGAGGTGTATATGCTATTTTTTTCATGACCATAATGGTTTCAGAAAATATTTTTAAAATATTAAGTTATGGAGTTAAATTAATGATATGTGAATAGTGTTTGTTACCAAGGAATATGTCAATAAACAACTATGCATTTAGTGGAGGCCATGTCTGAACCTAAAAGTATATCTGATACTGCTTATGAAGCTTTTGTAAATGCCAAAATATGTAAGAAAATGATGCAGCAAAATTAAAGATTGGTGTAAAGATAAAGAAATATTAAATACGTGAGAATGTCATGCTGGCATATTTCGGTTAAGAAGCAAAGAAGTACAAATCAGTTGTGATTCATGTTGTGTTCAAATACATAAATTTTTACTCGTATATGTAATTTGTTTTCATTGTAATGTAAACAAGGGAGACAATACTTTTAATCCCTAGGGAGTAAATATTTCCCTATGGCTTTACTTTAGTCCGTTATTAGCTACCAATAAAATCCACTTTTTCTCCTGCTCTTGAAAAAACATATTTATTTTATTTCTCCACTTTCATTGACATAATTTAAACATAATGGAATGATTTTCATGTATTTATAAATAATTACACAAACAATAACAAGTTGGATAATATATTGTCATAAGGGTGTAAATAAATTTAAAAAATTGAAAAATTGAAATCCATAAATTGTTTATGCACTTAATTTTACTTTAAAGGAATCTCCATAAATACTGTATTTAATTTGATTTCCAGAGGCCATAGTAGTGGGGTAATGCACTGTGGAGTATTATATAATATGTACAATCTAGAATTAAGGTCCATGTCCATTTGATTGCTATCTTGAATGAAAACGTACCTTCTGTAAGGCCCTAATTTCTGATGCCAAATATATGTGAATGTAAATATAATATTAGCTAAATCCTTGCATTTACATCAATCAAGAGAAAGAACTTTAGAAAATTTACAACAGAAAAGTATAATATATCCAGTATGTGGAAAATCAGAATGCCCCTAAATATTGTTTCAAGTCATTCAGTACTTATTCTCTGGGACTAGCAAAATGCGGTAGCTGTACATATTCTGAACAATAAAATCACTATTCATTGTGAACACAGATTTAAACATGTTTCTGAAAATGTAATTGATATGTATTATCTTTATCGAAATATGTACCTGTAGTGGACTATAGCAGGAAATTCTTGCCATCAACTTTTGCGTCAGCTCTTGCACAACCTTATTACTGTGTTAGGTGCTGCGTTTGATTTACCCCTACATAAATTAATCCTAACTTGCTTACAAACAGCACCTATCTCCCAAAATCCACCACTGAGCATACAAACCATTCTCAACCAATCAGCTCACCTCTCCCCTCATAAAAAAAAATAAAAAAAAAAAAAACCCTCATAAATTGCCAACCACAAACACCTTTACCCCATGAAGACCAGCAACAACGGCTCCTCCACTTCACAGTGGGATTTATCACACCACCGTAGCCCGCTAGTTTGACTGCGCGTAATAGAGGGCTATGCCACCGCGAACCAGATGGCCTTGGGGGTGGTCAGCGGCATCACGCCAGCGAGATTTGTTGCATCACCTCTGCCTGATGATCACAGCCACAACGAAGGACAAGCAGAGATGTCTCCATACATCCAGACAGGAGAAGCTGTGAGTACGTTGCCTGCACGATCTACAATCGTTTGAATGAAGATACAAAGCATTCAGATATGAATAAAAAGTTTAATGGAAAGCTACTTAGGAAATGGTTGGTGAACTTAAATTAAAAGGCTTATCTTCTTCCACTTTGACATGTGAAAGTATTTATTTCTATTGTAAACGTTTCTGCAAATTTTGTAATTTTTCTTAATTTTTGTGTTTAAAACTTGATACTATCTTTATTGTAAAATTTGAATTGCATTAATTCATGTCTCGCCCACAGGGCTTTGCTCTTAGCGAGGCGCGAGAGATGTAATGTTTTGTTTATATGTATATGCACATATTATTGTATTGCATAATATAAAATAAATTGAAATTGAAATCTGTACCACCTGCTGAGCTCTTTCTGGGAACAAGCCAGCCCAGGGTGCTCTCCCCCACATCGCTCTGGCCTCAGAGTTCAGGCCATTATTTTTTTCCTAATATAGGCAGGCAAAATGGTATTTATTTTTGCTAAAAATAGGCATGCAAAAAGGAATTTATTCTAGTTACACTAGGGGTGGGAAAATGTATGAAAAATGCATGCAATGAAAAGTCACAGTTGAAAAGAAAATATTGTAAAATCTACATAATTGAAATGTTTCACATTTTTATTCCAACTCAAAAATTCAATTAGCGCTTAACATATAAATAAAGAATCTTTTCTTTGTAATCTTGATTCCTCATAACTGAGATGAATTTGATTTACTCTCAAAACTGTCTCTTCAAAATGCTTTTGTAGGCTCTTCTTTTGAATCTCAACATGGTCGTAAGTAAAAACGGAATTACATATTTTTCGTTCTTTGCACTTATGTAATTGCCAGCACTGAGAAGGGTATATCACACACAGAGTGGTCCTTGAAAGGGATCAGAAGTCATACTCAAAAGTAGGATGGAATTCCTTGTGAGTAAACAAAGGGTGCCAGTATAATTTTAAAAAAAAATGATAACATCTTCCTTTATCATAAATTTCTAGTTCAGTCCCTGCTTCCACAGAAAGACAGAACACAATCATGCCTTTTGTGTTGTCCAGGCTTGCAGGTATTTATTCATCTTGATTGAGATCAGTGTAGGAGAAAAAAACAAATATATAAAAGGCCGAAAAAGGCAAACATAAGACATAATGGCCAAAATAAGCACCAGAAGTTAAAACAGGCAAAATGAAAATCTATTAAAACAATTTCAGAAGTACAATTAAGTGATTCCTACTGTTAAATAGTAACAATAATGAAAAGGTATTTTTCCAAACTTCTGGGGTCTAATGATGACAGAAGAAATATTAACCCTCCAAGAGGTTTTCCAAAAGTGAACTGGTTGCTTGTGAAATATAATATATCTTTGGGCTCCATAATGTAAAATGTTTTAAGTGAAGTTTCATTACAGAAACTAGTGAAAAGAACACACAAATTTCGATGTTTTACCAAATGATGTTTAGGACTGCTATATTTGTTTTCCTGACTACTATGTTTATTGAAATATTATTTAACTCAGTACACACTAGTTTTGACATTTGACTTGCTTTCTGTAATGTGAAATCATTTTGAACAGAAGTCAGTAAGTAAGATTAATTTCACACAAGCCTGCTTAGATTACATCAAAGTGAGCTTTCAAATTTTGAATACCACTATCAGCAATCAAAAATTAAGTGAAGGAGTGTGTTTGGTAGTTCTAAGATAAATTTATTTCCTTCTATCAATCAATTTCCTTTCATAAGAATATATACATCAGACAATCATCATGGCTGACAACAATGGGATGAATTTGATGAAATTTGAAACTACTGTGTTGCCATTTTGCGAAATGATAACGTCATACAAAATCATTGTCGCAAGAGGAGTAACAAAGCCCACTAAAATGTTTCATTTTTGCTGCTGTTCCATCTTCGTTTGTTTTTGAAAAAGTTAGAAAATTAAATAGTAAATGAACGTATACTATTACAAACAAATTTGAAGATCCAGCAGTTTTTGTTATCTTAAAAAGATGAAAATGCAGATCAAAAAGTCAAAAGCCGACGGATTATTGCAGTGAATTCATTTACGACCTTCTACTTCTATGTGAAGTTATAATTGCTAGAGTATTCCTTCACTAAAAATGCCTTTGAAAATCATGCAATATATTCGTTTATCTCTCAATGTACACATTTTCCCTTCAGCTTTGTATACTTCAATGAATCATCTAGAAATCAATAAAATAATTTTAATAATTTTATATCTCTCGTAAAACTGATAATAAAGCAAATTCTCAAAAACCATCCTCGTACTGCCATCATTTGAACTACGCGCTTGATTTTGAATTGAATTATGAATAAATTTTGTGAACCATTTTGTTCAAAAATATAAAATTTATACTTAATTAAACTTAAGTATACTTAATCATTTAATTAGATATATATTATATTTTAAAATGTATATACATTCTTTGATATTATTGGTTTTTCCATGCTTCCTTTTGCGGAAGCATGCAGAGAGATCTAGCGCATCCGCTGTTTCGTCGAGGTTTCAAGATGGTGGATTGAAGTGCCGGAGTTTTGTGAAATTGTTTGAATTTTTTTTTGTGAAATACTTTAATTGTTATTTGCTGTGTACTCGTACCTATTCTGTGTTTGAAAGTTTTGAAAAAGTGATGACATTACTCGAGATCTGGGAATGTTCTGTTCATCGTGACTAGCTAATACCAAGCTAGGCGTTACGAGTGACCAGGATTTTATGGACGGTCGTTCATCAGGTAAACTTCTCGTGTAACTGTGCCCGAAGGCATTTGTTTGTTACAAATGTGTTATTAATTGATGGTGTGTTAATAAATATCGACAGGGCTCCTCTGCTACAAGTTATTTGCCAATGCTTGAACTCTGTATAGAGGCTAACTTAGAGTTAACTAACACGTCATGGAGCTTTCGTGTTGCAAAAGTAGCGTGTGAGGTATGTATCGAAAAACTAGTAAATGGTTATGTTCGTAGTTTGAAGGTGCAGGACGATTCAATAATATCCTTTCTATATACGTCACTGTATATGGGCATGGAAAAACTGCATTTTGACGGTTTTACCCAAGTCTCATCAGAAGGATTATTGACATAATGTGAAGTAAATTTGAAAAACTGACTTGTCCTCTGAAATTGCATTATCGGTTGTTGTGGAAGTACATTGTTGAACGTATAGTGGACTACAAGTTCTGTTGGAGCCATGGTGGGAGCACTAATTTTGTCATGGGAATGTGACACACCATAGCTATTTTATAACAATAATACCAGTTGTATTTTTTACAGTCGATATAAATAATACTGAAATGTGTATTGACAATTAGACATTTTTGTAGGATATTGATGCATCGATTCCGAAGAAAGGAGTGGTGTGTTTACATATGCTCGTGCAAATCGAGGAGAATTGGAAGATAAGGTTAACGAGATGGGTGAAACCTCTGCCAATGCCTGACCCCTCGAAAGTCAACAGCTGAATGCAGGCTCCATTATTATTCAATTGTCCTGCAACAGTAGTTTGGTGTTGTGCATTTAACGAAATAGCTATTTGTGACCCTGCCAGTCAAGCGTTACGCTAGGATTACAATTCTTCTCTTACAGCATGATGGATGATGAAGATGTGGTAAGAGAGTTAGAAGAACTCGAGAAATTGCCATACGATCTGTATTTGGACGATGTAGACGAGTCCGTGGAGTGGCCAAGAGGACGCAAACCACATACCCGTCGCGGCGGCGCCAGCACGCGAGGCGGCGGCGGCCCCCGCACGCGAGGCGGTCGGCGCGGGCGAGGGCGACAATCGATAAATCGCAGCAGCGAGCGAGAGGCGGACATGTTCGAGGTTGAAGGCGGCGAGTGCAAGTGGGACATGGACGGCCAAGAGTCCGGCGGCTGCGGGGAAGACTACGCCCCCGCAGGCGGCATAGAACGACCGCCGCCTTCCTCGTCGTACGCCACGAGTCGCGGCGGCCACCGGGGCCCGCCCGCTTTGAAACCGTTTGCCCGCAACGACGAGCACAAAGATGGCGGCGGCGGTGGCGCCGCTGCGAACAGCGAAGATTACCCGCCGGGATACGCGCATTCGCCCGCGACTCGCGGCGGCCATCGCGGCCCGCCCTGCTACAAGCCTTTCGGCGGACGCGGCGGCGAGGACGAAGGCGGAGCGGGAGCGGGGTTCGCAGGGCGAGCGGCCGTGTACGATCGCGGCTGGACCGCCGGGGATGCCGACGATGGCCCCCCTCCCGCCAACCCGCCGCCCTACACCCCCCACCGCAAGGACCCGCGACTGGCTGGTAAAGAGCATGGACACAAGTGCTTTCACCCTTTCAAACTCTCTTCTTTTAAGTGGGAAGCTAATCTCTCATGGGTGCAGATTTTGCCCAAGTTAGCTGTAGTGTAAGTTACACTGAAGTAGAAAAGGCTGATGATCTTAATTTTGTGGTCCATGAACTGAAGTATGAATCATACTTATAACATGGCAAAGACGAAGCCAGTTTCCAGTGTGTTTAAAGACGTGTCGAATGCATCATGAACAAATTCTTTGATATCTTGAGTCTGTCAGAGGACTAGCATTAAAAACGAGGCAAAAAAGTAAAGAGAGACAAGTGCTAGGGTACTCTGTTTCGTGCTCTTCACAGAAGCGTATCTATGGGGGCTAGGGGACTGTGCCTCCTCTGATAACTTTGTTGGAAAAGAATTATTTTGCTGGAATTTTGCAAACAAATGTGTAAATTACAAAAGGGTGATAGCACCAAGAGTCATTCGAGAGGGTGATTGTCTCTTATGAACTTGTACTGGCTTTAACCCATTAGCTGAGTTCTCTGGAAAACAGAAATTTTTTCTTTCTCAATAAACTGCTCTTTAATCTTTCAGTGCCTGAACTCGTGAGCAAGGACTCTATTAATGTTGCATTGAATTGTGACAGGGCTATTTCCCTCTCCACTTCTCAAGTACTCTCTTGATTTGCTCTAGACTATGATTTGTATAGAATTCTATCGGATCTGCTTACATTTCAACTGATCTCTTCCACACACTCATTCTATTTGCTGTTGGTTTGTTTGATTTTTTCTACAAGAATAAATAGCTTTCTTCCTTGCTACTTGGTTTAAGGAATAGGGCTGTTCCGTTGCAAAAGCAAGCGGTCTTGTGAGTGAATGAGTTTTTCTGAAATAGAAGTATAGGCTGTTACAGTCCCTTTGAAGGAAGACAGTAACTTGCTCCTCTCTGAAATCGCTTGTCCTTCACAAGCAGAGAAAGTGGACCTAGGATTGTTGTCTGCCGTTTTTTCCATGTTTAACAATTATCAGGTTGATTTTAAATTTCACTGAGAATGGGGATGCTTATTTTACTCTTTCACATGCAAGATGCTCAAGAGCATGTCAGTTCAGCAATGTCAAAATTGTGTTTGTCTCTCTCCCCTCCTCCGTCCCTCTTTCTTCTTTTTTTCCACAATATGTTCACAGACATACCCAAATTTCGTATTCTCCCTGCATACCAGATATGCTTTAGGAGTGTCACTGTCTTCATAAATGCAACAATGCATTAAAAACTTCAAATTTTCTCACATGGGAACTGTCAATGGCTTGGCGGTTTCTCACTGATGGTTAAAGTCGCAGGTAATTTATTTGTCAAGCATAGATGCCAAAACACTTCTTAATGATTTCTTTGCAATTAAAGTTAAGGTTCACATTCAAAATTTTAGTTGCCAAAACAAACAGAGTTACCCTAAGAAAAAAGTATGATTATTTTGAGTGGTTCGTGGCATGCTGGTATGACATTTTGAATGGTACGTCACATGGCATGCATTCAGAAGATATCCCCAACTCAACTTCACTCTGTGCCACTGATCTGTTCATTTTTTATCCAATGGCAGAGCGAGACTTTATAAACAAGTTTCAAACACAAAATGTGTATTAAAATCACATTTTATTAATATTTTGGGTTCCAGATTGTTTTGGGATGACACTAAACTGAATTTGCTAAAACTTGGCATATGAACCTGTGACCTCAACTACCAATTAAAAATCATGACAGATTTGAACATTACAGTTTCAAGTTAATAATGAATAGCTGGGCTTGTGTAGACTAACAATCCTGTAGCAGATATTGCAAGAAGGGTCAATAAGGAATTATGAGGAATCTATGAAAGTATTGAGTGCACTTGATGTTCAGGGCTTGTTAACCTATAATCTCAGACTTGAGAGGAGTTGTGACGTACAGTTATGATTGTCTTGTATATTGCAAAGATGTGATAATAGTAATGAGACTACTACTTTTACACGGATTAAAATAAGCTAACGAATTCTTCAACAGTCAAATATATTAACTTATTCTTTCTGAAAGCGTGTTATGGTGTTTTCAACACAAGTACCTTGGTGTTCAACAAATGGCAGTAAAACACTTTTAATGAGATAGTTAATAAATCTTTGGAAGACTAAATGAAAGTGCGTCACTTCTGCTAGTTTTCTTCCTATATCCGGTGACCATTTTCCTGTGACACACAATTTAGTGTTTTATAATGACAAATAACATGTCCGCTTTGGTACAGGAAAAAAGGGCCTTCAGAACGAGAGTTTTGTTGTTTTTGAACTGTGATGTAAAGGTTTAGTGAGGCCGATTCCACCTGAAACTTGTGCAGTAGCGAGCGGAGAGTTACAATGTTAAATTATAAACAGTGGAGAGAAGTTAATGCTGCTTTTGTTCCTTGATTCAATGCAGGCAGGCCCCTTTCAGTTTATATTTGTTTTACTCCAATCATAGGGGTTGATATCTAATTAATTTCAATGGTATAGTGTGGAACTACCGTTCAAACCAAATTCCTAGTGAAATGTAAAGTTTTTGGAAGAGCTTCAAATTGTGTTGTTAAACTAGCATTCTTTTTTCAGGCCAGGCTCTACCAAATTTAGAACAATCAAAACAAATGCACGTGGATAGGGTGGGCACATCAAGTGGGCATTCTGCGTTTCGAATGATTGTGGCCCAAAGTGATTTATTACTGGTGCCATAACAATACTGGGGGAACACAAGAAAATGGCATAGAATGAAATTATTTAAATTTGATTATTAGAATTATAATCTCTATTGTAATTTCTAACTGTTAATAAAAATTGATTAATATGTTGATGTTCATTATTGCTTTGGTTGATATCCTTCTTTTATGCATTGGATGTATGCCAGTATTAGGTTTTTGACAGTCTAACAAGAAGTAATTTTGTTTTAATATTGAATTTATTTCAAGATAAATTCAAGTTCAGAAATAAACGGAAAATTAAAAACAAAATGACCCAAGAATATAAGTGTCTATTGCATGATGAGTGAGAGTTGTACTCCTTTGTAAAGAACCCTTTGACTGAATCAAACGATACCTCTGGGTTACTGACACTTGAAGACTAATGACAGTGCGCTACTAGTGAATCTTCCATGAATTTGGTTTTCATTGGAGGTTGGGAGATGTATCTTTTTCGAGTAGATAGTTTGCAGGATAATAATGTATGTTGGTATAGTGGAGGGAACTTTGGTTTGAACACAAACAAGTAGGTGATTTCAGTATTTATTCTTAGAACCAGCAAGATATCCATTTCTTCACATGTTTATTGTTTAAAAGTAATCACATGAGTCATTTGGGGAGAGAAAAAGCTATGCACTAACCAGTGATATGAGGAATGATTATAATATCTGCTTTTTCAATCTTTATGAAATTGAAGTTGAGACAAACCCTAGCTGTGGGTATGTTCTTTGATTCTGAAGCAGTTTTTGTATGTGCCTATTTGCTGTATTTGTGATGTTACAATACTAAATCTTTTCATTTATTTTTTTCTGTTTCAAATTGTGGGAAAATGATCTATTTTATTTTCTCTATAATGTCTATTTACTACAGGAATGTAGAACATGCAATTTAATTTTTAAAGACACTATCAATCTTTTATACTTGCTGAAAGAATTTGAGGAGATTTTAAACATTTTAATCTAGCCCATACAGGGAGTTCCAAAAACAATGCTCTTCGACACCATTGCCCATGTTAGTTTGCAGATGATGTCAATGATAAGACTAAAATTGGCAAAGAAGAATTTTGCATTATACATTTTGGGAAGTAACTGTGCTTGATTGATAGTTCTGCCCCAAGCTGTCAAATGCAATAGGCAAGGTATACCAGGATTTATTTAACCGTGCACTTTACACAAATTTGCTGTTCACAGTTTCAATCAATTGGGTACTTGAATGTCCCCATAGTGACGACTCTGGAGCGACATACAAGCTTCCAATTGGATGAAATTGCAACAGCTGATATGTTTCAAGTGCACAAGAAAATAAATTGTACTATAGATTGATTATTGCAACATGGTATACAAATGTAAGAAAATGTTTTTACTTGATAACTGGGGATGGCAGTTGTGTGGGCTAATTTTTTAGCACAGTGTATTCATGAGCAGATACCATGAACCAATGTATCACTGCATCTTCCTTGATCTAGTGAAATGGTATCATAGGCTTCCTGATGTAATTTTGACTCTTATTTTCGTTGCCATGGTATGGAACTACAGGCACTATTGTATTTCATCCAGGAAATATTTCATCTGATTAGGCCAGGAATTGTCCTAGAACATATTCAAATTTTCCCCCTGCATCTGTCAGGGTTCTTTTACATACCACTGAAGTGACCTAGTGGGATGCCCCTTTGGGGATTGTCTAACTTTTGAAATTCTGCCATCTCTAGATGAGTGAAAACCTAATTCTTGCAGATGGGTTTGGAAAGCTATTACTTGACAGGCTACACCACTGGGGCTAACCTATTTCATGAAAAATTAAGCTCTGAAACCAATGAGTATCTGAATGTTGCTTTAAATCTCCTCTATGATTGAATTTATAACCATTTTTAATAGTGTATACTTTCTACTGGTCAGAACAATTTTTAGAAACATTCTTTTGTCGAGACCTTTGTACAAAAGTGATGAACATGTTAATTACATTCACAGAATTAATTGGTAGAAATTTCTGTGCAATGCCTGTTTGTTATATAGAGCATGTCTTACTATTGACCAAAGCGACAAGTTTATTTATGCATGAAATTAGTTGGTGTTCTTTTAAAGCATTGTTTAAACATTCTTCTAAAAAGTCTTTTGTGAAAAAAAATAGCATTTAGAAAGCTACTTGCAGTCTAATTTAATTTCAATGAGCAGAATCCTATTAAAAGTGAGGGAAATAAACAAAAATATTGCAGTTAAATGTTATAAATGTAGAATGGATAAATACGAATGAATGTGAAGAGATTCATGCAACTTCAACCATAATAACACTTCAAGATAAGGGAAAGTTCTAAAATCCTCTTGGTTCAATTCATTCTTAAATAATTTGCTAGTTCCAGAAGTGTTCGTATGGTTGAAAATTAGTCTAATGA